GGAGGCGGCGGCGTGTCGGCCCGGAGCGTGGCGGGGGCGCTCGCCCAGACCCTGGCGACGGCCACCACTCCGGTGTCCACCCCGGGCCCGAGTAGTGCAACTCCATCTCAGCCCCCCGCCACTTGTAGTTCCCGTTTCCGCGTGATCAAGCTGGACCACGGGAGCGGAGAGCCGTACCGGCGCGGCCGATGGACGTGTATGGAATACTACGAGAGGGATTCGGATAGTACCCGCTCCGGGGATTGCATCCGCCACAGCAATACTTTGGAGCAGACTGCCGAGCGGGACAGCGGGCTGGGCGCCACCGGAGGGTCGGTGGTGGTGGTGGTGGCCTCCATGCAGGGGGCGCACGGGCTGGACTCGGGAACTGACAGCTCCTTGACTGCTGTGTCACAGCTACCCCCGTCGGAGAAAATGAGCCAGCCCACTCTCGCCCAGCCGCAGAGTTTCAGCGCTGGGCAGCCTCCGCCGCCCGTAGGTGGGGCTGTGGCTCCAAGTTCGGCACCGCTGCCGCCGTTCCCGGGAGCGGCGACTGGGCCGCAGCCCATGCCGGCAGGAGCTCTGCCAACCCAGCTCCAGGGAGCCGTGGCAGGCGGCACCCTCCCGGGGCCTGTTGGCCAGGCTCTGCCACCGACGAATGTAAACCTGGCGCCGCCAGTGGGCCTGGCCACCCAACCAGGCCCGGCGGTGGGCTCCTCGCTGCCGCAGCATCCCCAGCAGTTCGCGTATCCCCAGCCTCAGCTAACACCCGGGCATTTGGTGCCCGTGCAGCCCTCCGGCCAGAGCGAGTACCTGCAGCCGCACGTGGCCCTGCAGCCGCCCAGCCCTGCGCAGCCCTTGTCTTCAAGCGCTGGCGCGACCTCGGCTTCGACGGCCAGCTTTCCTTTGGGCTCTGGCCAGAGCGTCTCCTCCTTGGGTGCGCAGATGATGGGCGCCCCTTCCCAGCCCAGTGAAGCTCCAGGTCCGGTTCCTGGCGTCCAGACCGCTCCTTGTCAGCCGGCGGGGGTGGCCCCAGCTGCTATGGGAGGCGTGGTGCAGCCAGGCTCGGGGCTTCCCGGGGCTGGGCAACCCCAGTCCGTGCAGCCTCCGCCGCAGATGGGGGGCAGTGGTCAGCTGTCAGCCGTGCCTGGTGGTCCTCACACCGTGGTGCCCGGAGTTCCAAACGTGCCTGCCGCGGTACCCGCTCCAAGCGTGCCTAGTGTGCCCACCACTTCTGTTACTATGCCAAATGTACCCGCGCCTCTGGGCCAGTCTCAGCCGCTGAGCAGCCATACGCCAGTCAGCCGGAGCAGCAGCGTCATCCAACAAGTTGGGCCGCCCTTAGGGCAAGGCACACATAGTGCACCAACGAGCCTACCACAGTCTGACCTAAGCCAGTTTCAGACTCAGACACAGCCTTTAGTCGGGCAAGTTGACGATACTAGAAGAAAATCAGAACCCCTACCTCAACCACCACTTTCTCTCATTGCTGAAAATAAGCCTGTTGTGAAGCCTCCAGTTGCAGATGCCCTGGCAAACCCCCTTCAGTTAACACCTATGAACAGTCTGGCCAGCTCTGTATTCAACATAGCTATTCCTGTTGATGGTGATGAAGACAGGTATGGGAATTTTTATGTTAAATATCTGCTAAGATTGCTTGGTCCAAATAGCTTAGGATACAGTTTGGGGAGATTTTTTTCACTTGAGGCCTTTATTTTTCTTTTCAAAATTTAATTTAGTAAAATCAATACAAAGTTTTGAACTAGAGGTGTAAGGAGACATGGTCAAGGTTTTTGTTTTGTTTTATTTGTTGTTTTTAAAACTTAGATAATAATTCAATGTCTTTGATGTATTTCAGCTTAGCAGTTTAAAAATGAGAGCTGGTGTGCCCCTCCCATCAGTACTGGTTAAGTACTTTTGAGTGCTTATGGCAGAGTTTGGCCAAAGTTAGTTTGGAAATTGAGACTGAAAACCAGAAGGCCTTCTAGTTGGGGCCGAGAGTAGGGAGTAGATGCACTCTCCCATCAGTGAATTTGGGAAGACTGGACAGAGAGTGGTAAAATGTGAAATCTGTCTTTGACAATCTAAGTCAGACAGACTTTTAACAAAAGGGAGTCGTGAGGATTCCCAGTAGCTTCTCAGAGATACTTCTTTTCTTTATGCAGAAATCTTTACCATAGGGAAGGGAGATGCAAAGTGCTTAAAAAGTAGTAAAAACTATAGTTTTTGAAAGGTATGTCCTTAACCAGCACCCTCTACCTAGAGTATAAGGAGTGCCTTTTTAATATTTTAGATGAAAACCAGTGTATTGCTACACTGTTCCATAGCAGTTTATGTTTGGTTATGGCCTAATGAGGAATTTTAGTCTTTTGTTAAGAGCTGTCATGAAGACCTATGACATTATATAATTCCAACCTTGCTAAAACTTTAATTGCAACGTTTTAGCACTACATTAAAAATTACAGAGAAAGAGTGGGGCATCTTCTTACACTTGAAGGTTTTTGAGAGAGGTTAATTCAGTTGCTAGAAGAATAAAAACATAGTATGAGTTTGTAGAATCATTGGTATGTAGAAGACTACCATGAAGTAGTAATGCTTTTCTATACTTTAATCCCTCACGATCTTAGCTTTTTACTTCTCCTTATCCCTGATTTACTCTATATAGTCTTCTGCTGGTTTAAAAATGCTTACTGGAATTCATTCATCTCTGTTTTTGTAATTCAAAGTTCATGAAAGTTGTAGGAAGTCTTTGCACTTGAGAACTCAGTGTTCATAAGTGAGCTAGCTAGTCAGCTGCTAGTCATTGAAAATTTTAATATAGGTGGGATTACCAAGTTTAAAAAAAAACAAAACAAAACAAAAAAATCTGATTTTCGAAGCAACTGAAAAAAATCCTTCAATTTTCTAGTTGCTCCTGTTTTCACTGTGAGGACAGGTGGAGTCTCCCTTTCAAGTTTGATGGTACCTTATCTTTTATGACTATCAGGAACCTATATTTTCAAAGTTGATAAATTATCTTTTACTTTCCCTTTCTGATCTGTACCTCTTCAATAAGTGACTTTTCCCCAACCTCCTATTTCACACATAAAACCCATTGAATGAAGAATGCATCTTTCCTTTTCACACACTTTGCAGTTTATAGCATATTCCTCAGAAATTAAAAGGATAATAAGTAATGTATTGAAGTAGAAATCTATTGACAGATGGAAACTCTGAAACATTCCTTTTGAATATGTACTACAGGTGCATATATTTTACCTTACTGTAGTTAAAGTAATCTCAGAAGTGGTAATTCCAAATATAATGAATGCTTTAACTTCAGATGGTGCTACATCATTGTTCTTAGCTACTGCATCAGTTGATCCTTTTCAGGGGTTTGTGTGTGGTCCCATTTTGAATGTGCTACTTTCTCCTTTACCCCAACCTTAAATTCTGCATTGCATATTATCAGTTTTACCATTGATTTTTAATACTCTTCTTTCCAAGATGTAATCTTACACATTTGATGTTTTGTCATTTAACCAACACACCTGGTGAAGGCATGAATCCATTAATTAGAAATAGGGGTTTTGGTTTTTTGTATTGTTTTGTTTTGTTTTTAAAGAAAGTCTTTGTAAAAGAGAGCATTCAGAAGTTTTGCACTTGAGAATAGCGGTTTTCAAGGCACACATTTAAATTAACCAGATGAATACCTTTTAAGGAACAGTCCTAACTAGAAATACTACTTTTAGTATAATTTGAGGTTACTTTCTCAAAATCTTGCAGTATTATTTATAATCCTTCAAATATCATATAAATTGGTTAGATCTCAAGGAAGTATGTCAAACTTCATGAGTTGGTTAATACATTTAGATCCTAAGAAAATACTTGTAAATATTCATTTTTTATTTAAATTCCAAATTTAGTAAACAGGTCTTTGTTCTTCTCTTTCTAAACAAAAGAAGGGAAATGGGAGGTTAACAAGGTGGGTTAATTTAAGTTCATATATTTGAAGTTCTTTCGTGGTTTTGGTTCCATATAAGGGCCTATATTGAATCAATTTTGAGATCATTTATATTAAAAAACTACTATGACTCCTTTAAAAGGTTTCTCAGTTATCTGCCTGCTGACCCTACATTATTAAGTATCAAGCTGTGAGTTTTTTCCAGTCATTTTGTTTAGAAAATTATTATTACACATTAAGACTTCTCAGGTTAAATTTGTATAGACTGGTAGTTTATTTAAAAAAAAATTGTGTAGCCACTTTTACAGTGAACATTACAAAATTGTTTAAACTGCCTATACATTTAACAGACTCCTTTACTGTAAATGAGAGGAGAATGTAAGCTATTACTGGCCCTAAATGGAGCACAGTACAGATTGTTTTCCATAAATAACTGACCAGTGTGAACTCTGAAGGTAGCATTCCAGGAACTCATGAATGGCTCTAATTGTGAACTGTCAACTGTCTAACTGACAGTTGAAACCCTGGTTATTGTAAGGATTTCTTAGTGGCATATATCTCTGTGACTTGTTTAATTTGAATAGTTTGCTAATGACTAGTGTCGCTAACTGGTGTGTTTTGGTATGTGCTATAAACACAAATGTGTTCATATATTTAATGGATTTCACATATACTTAATGTTTGTCTTTTTAAACTTGAAGTTTAAGTAAAAAGATTTATTTAGCTACATACCAGGAACAACACTGTCCTCTTGTCATGGTGTAAAACCTACAGACCCCTTTTAAGAGTTATGTTACAGAAAGATCTTCTAGGTTTCCCAGCAAGTAAGTTTAAAAGTCTGAAAGCTCCTTACTTGAATCCGTTAGTTCGTTCTATTACATCATGGAGGTGACTTTGATCTTTCAGCTTTACCACTAATGAGTAAATCACAAGCAAGATACTGTCTTGTTCCTAAAACCTTGGGAAAGCATTCCTACCAAGGTGTAGGTAGTCAAAATATAAAGTAAAGCCACGCCTTTAATCCCAACACTTGGGAGGCAGAGGCACATGGATGCATGGATTTCTGAGTTCCAGGACAGCCAGGACTACACAAACAAACCTTGTCAGAAAAGATCAAAAAGAAAAAAAGTATAAAATCAATGTATACATGACATTATTTAATATGAAAACTGTTGATATATATTCATTCATTCATTAGAAATATCTAACTGCTAAAATATACATTAGTCATAAACATAGATCTAAATAAAAGAAATTCTGAATTTACAGAAAGACTGATGATTTTCTAAAGAACCTGAAAATCCTACAGCTATATCAATAGGAGTTTAGCCTTTTATATTTACTGCTACATATTTTTTTAATTGAGAACTAATTAATTTGGGCCAAATATTTATTATTTTAAAGAAAATAAGCACTTAGGTGTATAGGGATGAAACACATTCCAAGTAACTATTTTTAGTACAGTTTTTTTTCATGTAAGTAAAAGAAGCCTATGGGATCATAAATCTATGAAATCATCTTTGTAAGAATTTGTTTTACAAGTATTAGAAATAGGGTTAATATGTACCCCAAGAATAAATGCAGTATTGATATATTTGACAATATTCATTTGGAAATGGGTGTGACATTAGAATTATGCATTTGTTACTTGAGACTTTGTAGTAAAGTTAATCTTTTTCTTGCACTGGAAGACAGGTTAGATTAGATGTAGTGTCCTTCGATGACAAGTAGCAATACACTAAGCAAATGCTCCTACCTCTCTATCTTCTTAATAGAGGGATGGATGTTAGGAGAGTAGAAAAGAGATTCTGTTTTTTCATTTTACATGATGGCCCCAGTTGAGGGGTAGGTAGGAAAGTATTGCTTTGAGTGATGGCAGATAACAAAAATGAAAGAAAATACAGTAGAATAGCATCTGTTTGGTCTTAGAAGAAATGAATTTGTCAATAATGAGGAACTAGTAGTCTGTTTTTTTAACTTTTTACTTTTGGGTACTTGTTTTAGACTATTTTGTATTTATTTTTCTGAAGCGATACTGTCTACTAATTCTATTATTCTTTAGTAAATATAAAGAGAAGGGGGTTTATAAAACCCAGCCTATCTAATTAAATGTCGTCTAAATGTTGACGCCCTTACTAGATGCTTATGGAAAAAAAGACCAGAGTTTATTTTTAAAAAAATAAATCTTAATTGTTAGTACTGTTTGTGGGTTATTATGCAGCAAAACTCATGTATTGGAATAAACCTGTAAGCTTGTGGGTTTTTTTTTTTATACTCAGCTAGTGGTTTAAGCTATTTTAGATAGCAAAATACTGATAAGGTAGATCTACAAAGAATCGTGCATACATAAGTCATTGATCTTTCCCATAGCAAATCAAGGACATACTAACTATTCAATATTTGTTATGTCCTTAGCCTGGCATTGCTTAAAGCAAAAGTTAGGTGCCTTTTAGGGAGGCAGAGACAGACTGGTCTCTAGTTTAAGGCCAACCTGATTTGCATAATGAGTTCCAAGCTAGCCAGGGCTACATAATGAGACACTGTCTCATAAAACAAAATTATTTGCCTTCCATAAAAATTTATCAGTTTGCCTTATCATTCCAAGGCACTAATAAATAGACTTCACTGTATATACACCAAACTTGAGTGGTAATATTGAAAATATATAAATTGATA